CATAAACACATAGGCCTGTCTAGCCATAAACACATAGGCCTGTCTAGCCATAAACACATAGGCCTGTCTAGCCATAAACACATAGGCCTGTCTAGCCATAAACACATAGGCCTGTCTAGCCATAAACATATAGGCCTGTCTAGCTATAAAATAAATCACTATGACTAATTCTGTAAAACCACTAATCCAGCCATAGACTGACTAACTATTGTGTGAAACGATCTAGCTATAGTCCATAACTCACTATTCTTCACACATCTATTATCAATACTTTCTCCACTCTCTCAAATCAATGGTCAATGGCTTTTATTAAGACTGGGTCTGATATTTCTACAGGCATTAATTTTATTATGTTTGTTGATAAGTTAATCTGTGTATACCGCACGCGTGCAGTACGCGTAATTCATTAATTTAATTTACTCAAATGTAGGCCAATTATCTTTAATAATTTGCTCTGGTAAGTTTGGATAATTTATGTCATATCTTTCTGTCCTATAATAAAATTATAATGCCAACAATTCCCAAGGTGTAGTACTGTACAACAACCTTACTGACTGGGAATGAGACAGGTATTGTTCGTTTTTTTTTTTGTGTGTTTTTTTTTTTTACTGTAGAGAATTTAAGCCGTCAAATCATGAGCAAGATTTTATCCTAATGAAAATATACTGAGCAGACATCATTTGTTAAAATCCATAAATGAAAAGAAAATTTTGTTTCGTTGAAGTTTACTACAACAGATAACACAATTATAATACGGTACATGAACATCAAATGTCAGCTGCTTAACTACAGCACATAGGACAGAACATGGATGCAGCAACGCACCCTATCAGGGCAAATCGGAAACAGAAGCACATTGTTTTAATTTTTTTTTAAGAATAAGCTTAAAATATCAAGCGAAATCCGTTGAAAATGTTGACATCACCAACACATCCCAGTCACTCAGCACGCGTGCATTGTCAGGGATACCAGGTAATGTATTTGGTGATGGGACCGTGACGCAGACGAGAAAGAGAGGAGAGAGTGAGAAAGCCTATCATACTGCTAATTAGGTAGTTGGGGGGGGGGGTGTGGGAAGCAGTGCTGGTCAGCGGGGTCACTTCGGGCGGACGACGTAGGCAGACAACGGGAGAGGAGCGTGGACAACATGTGAAGGGCATGTCAGGGGCTCGCTTCTCACATAACTGGGTTGTCGAACGTTCTTAGGTCAACTCTGTGCTCGCCAAATCAACATCCTAAGTCCTAATGGCTCATGCTGACAAAATATAATGTTAATACTTTTTTTCTTCCTATCCATCAAATGGAACAACACAAATAAAAAGATTGGCAGACTCTTAGTTATACAAATGATACTTTACAAATCTCGCTCGTTTTGTCTGGCTATTCAACTCTGTAAGATAGTCATGTTCCCACTCTTCCCCTGAGGACCAGAGATCATGGCGGGCGTATACTAGTTTCTCTGTATCACATATCGACGGCAGTTAATCCTGTCTTTAGAACGCACTGACCGAACAGGTCGAGACATAAAAATCTCCTGTACCGTCCAATGACCTCCACTCCCCCACCCCAACAATAGACCTGACACCATTGACCATTTAGGCCTATAATACAATGGGCATGATCCGACATGAACTTTTTGACATGCCTATTAAAATAACCCACCAACCAGTTACCGACATGTCAACCTTCAAATACTTCTTGACATCTTAGGGTTTATGTCATTCAATATTCAATCACCTCATTATATTTCACCTTTAGAATAACCCATTCTTATCCAAACATGGAGTCAATATTCAATCACCTCATTATATTTCACCTTTAGAATAACCCATTCTTATCCTGAGTAGATCCAAACATGGCATTCCCCTCAAAAAGGAGAACCAAAGATTTATGCACTTATATTTATGATTATATGTATGATTATGTGTGTGATTATGTGTATGATTATATTTATGATTATGTGTATGATTATCTGTATGATTATGTGTATGATTATATTTATGATTATATGTATGATTATGTGTGTGATTATGTGTATGATTATATTTATTATTATGTGTATGATTATCTGTATGATTATGTGTATGATTATATGTATCATTATGTGTATGGTTATATGTGTGAGGGGTACATAACACAGTGTTCACCTAACGAAAAATAAACAGATAACATTTTATTTTTCAAAAGTATGTACATACACGTTCAAACACACACACACTCCCACTAGTGGCAGGATGCACAAAATTAAAATGTTGGGTTTGTCTAGCAAAGGGGCCTTGTTGAGATTAGGCCCAAATATGGAGAGACTTGTATAAAGGACAAGGAAAGATAGCAAATGACAAGGTGACACATCAAATGACCAGACAACGTAGCAAATGACAAGGTGACGCATCAAATGACCAGACAACAAAGCAAATGACAAAGTGACACATCAAATGGCCAGACAACATATCAAATGACAAGGTGACACATCAAATTACCAGGGATCAAAGCAAATGACAAGGTGATTCATCAAATCACAAGGGAACATAACAAATGACAAGGTGACAATCAAATGACCAAGGAACATAGCAAAGGACAAGGTGACATATCAAATGATAAGGGAACTTAGCAAATGACAAATGAAAAAAAATCGATACAAGTAACAATAATGAAAGTTGCGATTCTCTTTGTATGCGTCGGATTGTATGTGTGCATATGTGTGATTGTGTGATTGTATATTAATATGTCTATGTGCTTTAATGTGATTGTAGGTCATGTTTGCTCTTATATATGTGTGCGTCACTGTGTGGGGGATTGATTGTGCGTGCATGTGTGTGAGTGTTTGAGTGTCATTTTTTTTGTGTGAGTCCGTGTGAGTGTGGTACTTTCGCTTATCGAACCATCAAAGGGAGATTAATTCTCTATTTAGAAACAGAGTTACCCAAATAGGTCCACGAAGTTTGTCTTGAGATCAGATAAGAGATGGGAAAAAGTCGCACACATCTGTGGCGTCCGCTTTAACTTTGTGGTCACGTGACGTCTATTTAAAGCCCCATATTAATACAATCACCACTCTAAAAAATCTGTGCATGGCATCATTTGTGAATCCCGACTGTCGATATTCACCGACGTAAAAGGTAAGACGCATCCTTATTATATGCTCAATTAATTATCAACGTAGGATAATATTGAAAGCGTTTAGAAGCCTACAATACAGTGGCTATAAGAAGACACATTTGCATAATTAAATAGTATTTTAAACTTAGAATTATAAATAACTACGAAGAAAAATGATTGGTGTTTATCTCAACTATGCCACGTAGCAAATCTCGCATTTGGCTAATACACAGACTAGTGTCGTTTCAATTACGTATAATTTAAATGACATAAAGTTACTTTGTTTTAAATAATTTTACTTTTTAGCCCCCCCCCCTTTCCTCCCGCTTGCAGATTTAAAATTAGAATTAAAAATAACTACGAAAAAAAATGATTGGTGTTTATCTCAACTAAGCCACGTAGCAAATCTCGCATTTTGCTAATACACAGACTAGTGTCGTTTCAATTACGTATAATTTAAATGACATAAAGTTACTTTGTTTTAAATAATTTTACTTTTTAGCCCCCCCCCCCCTTTCCTCCCGCTTGCAGGTTACTTTGCAAAACATTTCAAAGGGATTTCGTCAAGTCCAGCAATGCACAAACAAAATACCTTGTGGCGGTGGCTGCAAAACATTTGTCTCAAACCCCGGCAGTTAACGGCGTCTGCTGTTTTAAGTACTTCCGAGAATGCGGCGAGAGTCAACGAGAAGGACCTCCCCTTGGGGACATCAAATAAAACCCTGCCCATGTCGCAGATGCCCGGTCCCAAAGGTTTGCGGAAATTACCGTATCTAGGCACCGTCTTGATGTTCAAACCATTTAGCGAATACTCACCGGAAACGTTCGGCAAGCTGGTGAGTTCAATGCACGACAAGTACGGACACATTTTCAAATCGAGGCTGGGCAAAGACTACAGCGTGCATACCGACAGCGTGCGGGATGTTGAAACTATTTTTAGAACAGAAGGCGCGTATCCGCAACGTCGGTTGATGCTGCTGAGCAAGATCTACAGAGAGAGGAACGGCCTCCCCCCGGCGCTGGGCACCGTGTCCGGTCCTGCTTGGCAAGAGTTGAGAAGTGCCCTGAATCCGCTCCTGAACAAGCCCCAGGTTTGTTTGCACTATCTCCCAGCTCAAAATATGGTCGCGGACGATTTTGTCAGCCGACTGGATTCGTCGGCCTTGACCCCGGAAGGTCAGTCGGATATGTTCTTCAAGTTCGCAGCGGAGAGCATCGGGGTCGTCTGTTTCAACCAAAGGTTAGGACTGCTGGATCCGGACGCGGACAATGCCCAAGAGATGATTGAGCTGTTGGAGGCCTTCAAAACCACGCTGCATTGTACGTTCGTGGCTATGATCGGGCTTGAGCGGAGATATCTGAGGACAGACAATGATCCTTTTTATCGCAAGTACGAGAGTGCCATGAAGCTAATCAGAAAACGTTCAATGCATTATGTAGAGAAAGTTATGGTCGAGCTTCAAAGACAGTCTCACCAAGGTGAGGAGAGTTCGGGGAGCTCGACACATCGTCTCAGCCCAGACAGAGAATCGAATCTTCTGGCATCCATGATAACCAAGAGTAATTTAGAAATCGAAAAAATATTGGCCATAATCGATTCAATGCTCATTGCTGGCACCGATTCAACGGCCAGAAATCTGGCCATCTTGTTTTACAACCTGGCCATCAACCCAGAACATCAGCAGAGAGCTGCAGATGAAGTCCTTGACCTTCTGGGTCCCGATAAGCCTGTCACTCCCGAAGCCTTAGCAAAGATGAATTTTCTCAAATCTTGCGTCAAAGAGTCGATGCGTCTCAACTTCCCACTGTCGAATGGAACAGAGCGGATTCTGAACAAGGACACCATTCTTAGTGGATACCTTGTCCCCAAGGGAAACAGCGTCATCATGTCCAGCAGCAGAAGCTCCCTTGACTCGTCCAACTACGACAACCCATGTCAATTCCAACCTGACCGCTGGTTGAGAGAGTCCAGTGACGAAGTGTCCACTAAGCGACTAGACCGGTTTGCCACTCTGCCATTTGGACATGGCGCCCGTGGGTGTATCGGCAGAAGGTTTGCAGAAATGGAAATTTACGTGGGGACTGCCAAAATTTTACAGAAACTCCACATAAGTGTTGATCCTTCCTACCCTGGCCTTGACCCCATCTATACACCATTCATCACGCCCAGGCTGATGATTCATTTCATATTTACCAAACGACATCCACCAGTTGGCGTGTCAATGTCACGTGGGACGAACACTTAAGTTAAAAAAAATATTAAAACTGGAAGTTTCGAATTAATTCTTCGTACAATAATACAACATAAAAAAAGTATAGCTATACAGATATGAATAAAATGTTTGATTTATTTTAAAATTATGTGTTCTTTCATTGTGGACTATGTGAGTTGTGTTGGTCTTTCTTCGCATATGAATATGACCAAGGCTGTATTCGACGGTGAGTGCATAGGTGTCTAGCCAGTCCTATGTGCGCCTGGAAAGCTTTCCCCACACGTAAGACAATCGTGTTTCGGGGGTCCTAGTTATGTTGGTGTCGATTCCGCTTTACCTTCATGTGCGCTTTCTTTTGGTGTAAGCGGTGCATTTGCTCTCTGAAGATTGTGCTCCAACAGTGACTCTGCTTCGCCAGCTTTTTACGACCAATAGGAAGTGTTTTCCACGAATTAAGGTCAATGTCCATGGATTTGACCGAAGCTTTTTGGCCTGTACTTTTTGTAGAAACATGTGGATGCCGATTAAGCCAGCCTGTTGTAGAACTTATGTATTTAGGGACTTTATCCCACCCTATTATGGCATGAAGTTTGCGTTATAGACAGCGTATGTGGAGATTTTTTTAGCTGTTCAGCATAATTGTTGTACGCTGACACGTCTCGCTGGCGTATAGGATGAGATGTTAATACGATCTCTCTCTCCACTTTCAGCTTAGTGACAAGCCTGAGACCTCTCTACTCCCACACACATCTGCCCAGCCTTAAAAATGTAACATTTGCTTTGGAAATTCGGTTGTTGATCTCATCATCTATTGTTGCTGACCTGGAGATGAATCTGTCCAAATATATGAATTTTCCCAGTACTTGGAGATTCTGTCCGTTCCATGATATGCTAGGCTCTTTGTAAGCTTCTGGCTAATGCAGGATAACAGTTGTTGTTTCTTTGTATTGATTTCGAAATCGTAGTTGTTGTAGGCCTTAGCAAATAGATCAGATATTTGCAAAAAGCCTTTTATTTAAGCTTCGTTACAGCTTGTAGTCTCCTAAGATTAAATAGACCACCGCATGTCCTGTATCTGAATGGAATGCCATCGTTATTGTCAAAACAAGCATCAGTCAGCATTGCTGAGAATACCATGCTAAAATGTTTTGGAACTGGAGTGCAGCCATATTTTACGCCATTAGTTAAAACAAAAGCCATAGACTCATCTCCAAAAATCACCTCACGAGCCATCATACCATCTTGGAGGGACATACACTTGTAATAAATCTACTCGGACAGCCAAACTTCTCCATTGTCTTCCACAGGTCATCTCTGCTGACTGAGTCAAATGCTTTGGTCAGATCAACAAAGGTGATACAGGTCGCTGTGTTGCTCTTGACATTTTTCTTTGAACTGACGCGCAGCAAACATCATGTCAGCCGTGCCATTTTGTGAACGGAATCCACATTGACTTTCCGGAAATAGTCCATGTGCAGCGTGTGGTTGTAAGCAATTAAGTAAGACTCTGGCCTTATCTTCCCAACAATGGAAAAGGGTGAAATTCCTCCATAGTTGTCAGAGGTTGGCAACTGTCTTTTCTCTTGCATAGGCGTATTATATTTGCATGCCTGAAATGCTTTAGGGACAGTATCATAGGGACTGTAAAGAGCACAAACTACGAATTTTGAATAAAACATGCAAAAAATATTGTTTAGATAAAAATATCCGTTAGCAACAGACACATGTACCCATCGTTCTGTAAAAATCTAACATCTTTTCTTTTGAACTCATCCGTGTAGATTTTTGTATTCATTCTTTGTAGGTCTTTGTGTCCATTCTCTGTACGTCTTTATGTCCATTCTCTGTAGGTCCTTGTGTCCATTCTCTGTAAGTCTTTGTGTCCATTCTCTGTAGGATTTTGTGCTCACCTTGTTGTGGATCTGTATCACCTGTCGGGGGCAAAAGGGAGATTCCCCTGACTTATTTCAATAGCCTGCCCGTAGCCAGCTTTGTTTACCCTCATAACACACCAATGTATTTATCTTTGATTCTTTCAAGATCTTATATATCCAGCTGGGGTCAGTCTTGCGCATCGACGATGTTTCTGAGCAAACACTAATCAGTGATCAGGGATATTGTTATTGTAAATAATATAAATGATAAACAGAGAGGCGATTACAATCATAACCAAGGCCTTAGTAGGTTCAAGTTTATGTAGCGTAAAGCCTCACGAAAAGATCAAATGACATCAACGGCTCAGCATTACACGCATGCCTCACTCGGCCACAAACATGACGTACTCAGTGTTCACCCTTCATATTAATAACCGCCTATCAAACCTGATTTGAGCCACTAGACGTCATGAAATGTAAAGGAATCACTGTCTTTTCTAATATCACGTATACATAAGCTTAATTACTTTCCCCACTGTCTATTCTACCCGACCACGTACACATACGTTTCAATACTTGCTCACTGTCTATTCTAACCGACCACGTACACATACGTTTCAATACTTGCTCACTGTCTATTCTAACCGACCACGTACACATACGTTTCAATACTTGCTCACTGTCTATTCTAACCGACCACGTACACATACGTTTCAATACTTGCTCACTGTCTATTCTAACATATCGCGTACAAATAAGTTGTACTTGCCTACTGTCTATTCTAACATATCGCGTACAAATAAGTTGTACTTGCCTACTGTCTATTCTAACATATCGCGTACAAATAAGTTGTACTTGCCTACTGTCTATTCTAACATATCGCGTACAAATAAGTTGTACTTGCCTACTGTCTATTCTAACCGACCACGCATAATTCAGTTGAAGTACTTGCTCACTGTCTATTCTAAAACCACATTATGCAAATAAGTTGAAGTACTTGCTCAGATAATAACCAAACTACCTTGACCGTAACAAATGGGAACCTTTCAGTGTGGGCCGAGCCCCCATTCTTAACAGTGTTGATCAGGTCGATAGACCATATCGATTGAAGATTGAACGCTGATCGATATCTTAAACGTCTCAATGAATTTTAAACAAATCTGGGATCAATAACAGTCAGGGGCGTATTTAAAAAATAATAATCTCATCGGGGTTGGGTTTTTTTTTTTTTTTTTTTTTTTTTTTTGGGGTGGGGGGGGTGCTGGGGATATTTCAGAGGCCCGATCATTAAATAGTAAAACACAACTAGTTGTAATAAACTATAAATAGACCATCTGATGGCCGCCATCTTGCTTCCCTCCACCGTATTTCTATTGGATGCACAATTCTTCTATGATGCCTTGAAAGTATTCATTTCTCATTCTCAGTTCTGTTAGTAGAAATGACTTCACAATAAAGACGTTAGCTCATCATCCCACTCCTGGACACATGGTCAGTGTTACGAACCCGTTCTTACCAAGGTCCGTTGGCTTCGTCTGTCTAAAGGGTTACAGCAGTAACTTCACAAAACAAAGCTTCATTTAACAAACGTCTCTTTATTCAAATACAAAACATTCCGAAAGTCCAACACCTCAGCAAAGCCAGTGATCCTCACCATAGCAACCCCTCCAAATCGTCATTTCCCCTTACACAAAATACGTCACAAAATACTAAGCATGTAGTAGCAACATCTACCCAAATACTCTCCAAACAACACGCAATCACACTATATATAGGCCTACATACAAGTCCTCAACAGATAGCTTCTTTGACAAGTTAATGTCATAAAACCTTTTCAGACTAAACATAGAAGTTTTGGGGACGAATAACAAAAAAAATAGATCAAGTTCTGTTAAGAATTGACGAAAAACACAGAACAGTTAAAACGACGTTTGGGTTAAATGTTTAAGGCAAGGGGGGGGGATATGATGAAAATAGAATTAGAATTAAGATAAAAGCTGTGATCGAAACTCACTAACAACGGGGCTCGGATGTGCTCTGTTATGCTGATACAGATTTAAAGTAGTGAAACAATCGTTTAATACTGTGATACAAAAGCTAAGCTCAACATAATAGATAGTGTCATAGAAAAGTATAAGGAAAAATGTATTGAAAAAAATGAGACATAAGTAAAAAGTAAGCACCACTTCCAATGTCAAAAAGTTCAAATATTGCCAAAGCCGCTAAGTCTAAAGATTGCCAGTGCCCATACGTTTAATGATTTCCAGTGTAAATAAGTCTAAAGATTGCCAGTATCAATAAGTCTAAAGAGCCAGTGTCAATAACTCTAAAGACTGCCAATGTCAATAAGTCTAGAGACTGCAAGTGTCAATAAGTCTACAGATTGCCAGTGTCACTAAATGACATTTGAATTTGACTTACGGGCTTTTAAATTTAAAAAAAAAAAAATTATTCCCAAAGTCCCAGTAACTTATCCTCGACCAGACACTCTATTTGACGTCTTTGATAACGTCATTGATTATTACGCCATGCGCAGATTTATTGAGGTTCTTGTCAGTTTATACAACCGTGTTCCCGCAACCCTAGAACTTTTTCAAAATTTAATTTAAAAGGTTTTTAATCGTTTGGCCGTTATAGAGTGCTCATCTTCCCTTCTGTACAGCCTTTCTTTGCGTAATGCTTTTGAAGAGATTGTAAATTATTTTCTACCTTTAAGTTGATAGACCGTCTTTGATAGAAAGTAAGGTTTCAAAAAGTTTTTAAAATATTTTTTTCTTCTTTTTTTTTAGTATTAAAATTGAATCTTTCACTTATCGACAAATGCAAAATTATTTACTTTTTTTAAACATCGAATGCTTACAAAAATCCCGTTAAATCTTTGATTGATTGGATATTTATATCGCGCCGGTATCCATGCCATTTCAACATGTTCACTGCGCTCTGGTCCTCCGAAATCTATTTAAACAAAAAAAGTTTTTAATTGTTTCTTAAATGATATTTTTTCATTTACAATCCCCTCAAAGATTGAGGCAAACTGTTCCATAATTTTAGCGCTATCGCTTCAAAAGAGCGCAATCCGTACGACTTTTTTCTGTGTTTATCCACACTAGGAACACTCAGCAAGTACTGTGATCAAGACCGCATGCTCTTCAAGGATACATGTTTATAAATCAGTTCCTTGAGATTTTCCGGTGCTGAGCCTTCTCTGCAGCTGTACGTCAGGGACAGAATTTTGTAG